ATGACAGGGGGAAAAAGCACGTTACATACCGTCCTCTAAACCATGCAAATTCATTATATGCACCCTTGTATGTTGAATCTCTTTCATATTTCCTCAAAAGCACACATAATATAGGATCCCGGTTTTGCATGAGTATATATGCATGAAAAGGTCATAGCCAAGTGTTTCTTAGAGTCTGCCCCACCCCCGACCCCCACTCAGAGGTAATAAGCCACTGCTCATGAGAGGCAAGTAACCCTAGGTGCACTGGGGTGGGGCAGGGAAGGTGGTGAGTCATCGTAGCTCTGGGCTATACAACTGAACATCCTGGGTTCACATCTGTAGGCAACTGTGGCTGGAAGATTTGTACTTACAAATTCCCTCATAGTAGAGGCAAAAATCGGCACTAAAATCCAGGGACTATGACATCCCTCCGCAACACTTTTCTTGCCCTCGACATTCTTGCCTATGGCACTCACCTTTTCAGCATATTCTCCTTGATCACGCACACCTGCAGAAGCCCCTAAAGACAACATCTATGCTACAAGGGTGACCCTCACGAGAAACGCAGCTGAACCAAACCAGAACCGCTTTCCCTCTTCACAAGATAATGTTCCCCAACAGCCATCTTTATCAAAAGTCCTCCCCTATCATTCAAAAATCCTTTCTCCTGATAATAAAAAACCAGAAGCCATTCCTCAGCTTTGCTGCTCTTGTCCCTTTCTGGTACACTGATAACAAAGTCTCCCAACTTTCTTAGCAAATACTGCTTCATGAAACTCTCTCCTCACACACGTGGAAATGGCAGCCCTCACAGTCAGTCAATGGGTACTGACTGAGACATCCTCTTTTTGAGGTTTAAACCCACTGCTTAATATTTTGAAAAGACAGTCTTCTAAGAATAAGTTTAAAACGCTGAAGATGGACAGGCTGCTCAGACATAAAAGCGCCTATAGCTTAGCACATAATTTTATTTTAGAATCTTTTAAAGAAAATCCATACCAGCTTCCAGATGAGCGTCAAGCTGCACTCAGTGCTCTTAAATAGGCAAGCAGGACACGGAACAAATATTTAGAGTCAGAATGAAAATGGGTCACCTGCAGCCTACTACTTCTTTACCGTTAAACCGATGACATAAGGGAAGAATCTATTTAGCACAGAAAATGCTGCAAAATCAGACTTATTCAGACATCAGTAGAAACAGCCTAAGTACAATGACACCAAAAAAGGGACATTTATCCAGGCTTTGTAAGTCAACTGCGAGCTACCAAGATGAAAGGCAAATGATATGTTCATTTCTTATTTTAAAACAGACGTACAGATTTGAGAAGTGATTTCCTTAAGAACGCTGTCTGGGTTATTAGTCCGGATTATACATCACACTAGATCCTGAAGCCTACTTAATAAAAAAGAAGTTGAAAATAAACAAATGATTAGTTTGAGGTATATGAATTTCTGAAACTCTCTTGGGGAGAAAGTTTTATTAGCATTATTACTGAACTGTTTTTAATCTCTGACATCAAAGCATAGATGTTAACCCTGGGGTTTTGAAACCAGAATAACTCATAATGAAATACTGTGAGAAATTGCCACATTTAACATTAGTCTGTCAAGTTTAAGCCAATTCACAGGTGACTCCATCAATAGAGAGAGAGGTATGGAGGAGGGAATAGGGAGAATCAGAAGACTTAGGTTCAAGTTCAACTCCACCATTTACAGATGATGTCGAGCAAACTGATCTAACTTGCCCAGCCTCAGTTTATTTAACTGAGGGTTCAAGGAAAAAATATGTAAGTAAAGCCCTTTATAAACACCAAAGAACTGTTCTAAGATTACAGCACTGGCTCCAGCATGCCTACATTTCTCAAACTCTTGGAGATTCAAAGAACTTTAGGGTTGAAAGGTAATCCCATTTTAGGGATGATAACAACGAGAAAACCAAGGCCCAGAAAGACTTAAAAGCCATGTACACAAACACATTCCTTCTGATGGGAGGCTGGGGGGAGGTTCTAGTTTTTCCACCACTGAAATACACATTTTAAAGACAGTTCAAAACAAAGCTATCCTAGGGACTAAAAGAAATCCCTCCCCAGCAATATACATACATCTCTCCCTCTCTCCCCCCTTTGTTTTTGTAAACTTTATTTCTGTAATTTACAAGTTAAACTAAACTTTTCATCAGAAAGAGAAAAATAAAGCCATTTCTCTGACTATGAGACTCACAGCCCACTTTTAACCCAACCCAGACAAACCTCTACAATGGGGTTAGAAATGTCTAATGGAAACTTCGACATAACATTAACCTCCAGCTATGCTGGCAGGCGTCATTACAATATGGATTACCATTCTACCAACCCAGGGATACTGGTTTTAATGTCCCCTGAGAGATAAAGATTAATCAGCAACTCAGAGGGGGCTGTTGCCTAAAAATGGACAGTTAAATTGAGACAATTCCATTGTCTTTAAAATTGTGCCCTCCATCACCCAGTATCAAAAACCCACTGTGGCACCGAATAAATTGCATGTGGTTAAAGAGACAAAATGTTCTTTTTTCCTACAGGCTGTTATGGGAAGCAGAAAAAAGCTGACTACGAATCAGTTATGTTTTAGTTTCACGACGGACGTAAATTATGATAATTTGGACATTCTGGTGGTTAAACCAAGCAAGCAGGAAAACCATTGCTTCCAAGCCTCAGCAAAAGTTAGGTTTGTGGCATCACAGCTGAAAGACAGGGTCGTGCAAAGCGACCTTAAATTTATTTTTGGACTTTCCTGCTCCAGTAACATCGATGACACTATTTCCCATCCTTTATTGTCAAATCACAACAGTCCGGAAGCCTGGACTGAGCTCACTTGGCAGGTAACAGGAGCAACCCTAGGAGGAAGTCCTGAAGGATGTCAGATACCATATTTCCTTTACTCCCGCATACTTTTCCTCTTCACACCACCAGGATATATTTACCATGAGTTCTGACTGACACCCACCAAGCATTCTGGCTGACAAACTTAGCAAAAACTGGCATACTCTAAGGGAAGGCCCCTTGTGAGTGTTTTAAGTAGCTTAGATGAGAAAAACATTCAGACTACCACTATAATGAACATGTCTCAGTCGCTCATAAATTCTTTCACTCCCAGCAATCAAGAAGCAGCTGTTAAAATCCAGGAATCTTCCTAGTAGCAGACCTGAGAGACCTCCAAGCTGGCCAGAGCCGCTTCACAACTGCTTTCTTCTCCTTCCCCTCCCCCATCCCAGGAGTGCCAGCCTGGCAGGAATAAAGACGACCCAGGAAGGAAAAAAAAAGAGAGAGAGAGAGAGTAGCGGATCTGGTGAAAGCAGAGATGCAGACTCCCTTTATTTCCACTACAGAGAAATACCAACTCTTTGTACCAACCAGCCGGCCTTCTCCTTTCCTCTCCCATCCCCACACCCTCCAAACACATTAACTTCGGCAGTCTGGTAGTCTGGCATTGCCAGTTAGCGACCTCAGCAGTCCTAAGCCCTTTCTTCAAACATTCTGATCCACACACTTCCTTTCCGCGGCAGAGTTCGAGGCCCATCCCACCGGGAGACTCAGCTTCCCTTACCTTGTAACCCGCCCAGACGGCGCTGCTCTTAGGGTCAAGTTCAAGATGAACGTGCCCTCCTAACCTCCTCGACTTGACTACAAGAGGGAACAGCGCTACCGAGACGACTCCCACACGAGGCACGGGGATCTGGGGCTGCTAAGATTGGGCTGGAGGGGTCAGTGAGGGGAAGACTGTCGCCAAGCCCGGCGTCCTCAGACCCCCCTGGCCGCGGCGCCGTATTTCTACCTGGCCACCGCCGCATTTCCTCCCGGAGACTTACACAATAAGTCAACTTAAGTTTTGAGAACGCCGGTCCACAGACGTTTCTGTCTGCAAACACGCCGCACAATGCCTAGGGCTTCCTTCCTCGCCAGCCGTTCCGGAAAGCTGCCCGACCAAAGCCGGGAGCCTCACACGCCCCCAGCTGCATGTCCGCACCCCAAAGTCCCCCATGAAGAACGTGCGCCCTGACCTAAGTCCCCCAGAAGTGACCACTCTCCACGAACAAGGGGATTCACAATCTTGATACAATTCTCGTCTTTCTCAGCCCCCCCCCCAATGTCTAATCCTAGCTCACCGCCCCCCCACACCCCCCCCAAGAACGTGGACATGCTCATCGCAGTGTTCTCGGAAGCGAAGCAATAGCCTTTCAGCCCAGACTGGGGCAATACGGCACCCCTCCCTCCGGCTTAATTCCACCCGGCAACTTCGCGACCTGCGCTCCCCTTCACTCCGGGGGCGCCCTGGACCCCGCGGTACCAGGCGCGCCTCTCCCCCGCCTCCCCCGCGCCAGGTACCAGGCGCAGCCCAGGCCCTTGCCAAGCCCGAGGGCTACAGAGGAGGCGGGAAAGGGGGCGAGGAGGTACTTTGGGGAGGGGTGGTCCCGACACTCGAGCGTCCAGCCGCGCGTTCCCGGTGCCCCCGAAGCCCAGCTCCGCGGGGGACCGGCTCGGTCCGGCGCGAAGGGGACGGCGAAGGGAAGGCGCCGACTCTCCAGAGCCGCCGGGACCAAGGCCCAGGGCGCCCAACATGTCCGTGCCTATCCCCGGAAAGCTCCCGAGTGCTCCCAGCGCAGGGGGGAGGGAGGAACCAGAAACTTTCCCACATGCCTTTCCCCTCTCCCCATCACCGTCTCCACGTCCCGGGGACCCTCTCCTCCCCTCTGCACCGCTGCAGCTGGCCCTGCCCGGGACGCACGGAGGCCCGCAGCGGCGCCGGGGCGGCGGGAGTTACCTGCCGGGAAAGTTTCCAGCTCCTCGGCGCGGTTCCCCACCCCCAGGGCCGGGCCTCGGGGCGCGGCCAGCTCGGCGCTCTGCGGCTGCCTCTCCTCCGCTCCCGAGGCGGCCGCGGCTCCGGCAGCTGCCACAGCGAAAGCTGCGCTCCGACCCGTCCCCCCGCCTCGCTCGGCCCACACCGGGGCCTCATTGGCAGCACGAATCCCCGCCCTTGCGCGTGTTCCCGAAGGCACCTTCCTCTCGCGCGCCCGACCCGGCCGCCCCTCCCCGCCCCGGGCTGCGGCGGCTCCCGGGACCCATCGGGGCGCGGCGCGCGAACTTTCCGCCGGGCGCCGGCCCAGCGCCTCCCCGCCCCACATCTCTGGGCCGCGTCCCCGGCTTCCCCCAAGGGGCTAGTCCCCTGAGGCTGCGCCTGGCCCCCTCCGGGACTGGATCATGATAGGTGATAAGTCTTTTTTTCAACCTCTTTAAAAATCAGTGAAGTGACCCGTCTTCCCCTCCTTGCTGCCTTTTGAAAACAACCGAGGAGGACATATGGGAGCAATTAACCAAGCTGAAGTTTTGGTGGATGCTTTAGGGTGACTTGTGTGGTTTCTTGAATTTTCTCTCCCTCACTTAACTACATGCACACACACATACTCAAACACACTCACTTTCTGGGGCAAGAATGAGCTAAGGGAGTTGGAAGTTGTACAGGACATCTCGCCTGCTGTGTCTCTTTCTTTCCCGAAAGCGAATTAGGGACGTTCAGGACTTGGTGTCTGCAGCCTCCTCCGACCGCTCTGGGCCTGCCCTATGTTGTCTGTGCTACATCGACGGAGGGCCAATGTCTTGCTTCTGTCGGCGGGAGGAGGGAGGTATGGAGCGGGGAGAAACACAAAGATGCTATTATTGTTTCGGTTGGTAGCAGTAAATTAAATTCCCGAGTTCCCAAAATGTTTTGTTATTCCCCAGCAGAGCGAAAGCCGAGATAGGGGCCTACAGATTCAGGAGTCCTGGGTTCGCCAGCACCCCTCAGGAATCCCAGGCAGCCAATTCAGGCTGGGAGGCACAGCCCTCTCCACACCCGAAGGCCTTTAGGCCAGCCTTGGTCTCGGAACGATCAGCTAGGACTGCTGCTGCCTTGTGCGGCCTGAGGGAACGTGCACGGGTCACCCCAATGGTGTGTCTGGAGCAGCGAATACAGAAGTTGCTGTAAGTGGATTTATTGGCAACCCCTAACCTCGCTGTGGCAAACCCGCCTTTAAAGACAACTGTGTTTTAAATAAGTTCCTCATAAAAACTTCAACCTCGTGCAGAGCTTCCCAGTACTGTAAAGATACCCGGCGATAAGTATCCATATTTAAAGTTCTTATGAGAAGAGACAGGAAGCAAAATGCCACACAATCTTTCTATGTAAATAAAAGATGACTCAAGTTTGCTGGATTTTTCATCCATAGTTTCAAAGGCCTGATATTACTGTGCTGATATTTGAGCAATAAACATATCAACAGCCTTGAAGTCTTCCTGAAACAAAGCAGGATATGAATATTTAAAATAAAATATAAACTTGTTAAACCAGAAAAGCTATTGACTTATCTCTGCACTTCGAAATGTCTCATTGGACAACCAGAGGCACTCACAACTAGAATATACAACTATGTACTGGGGGGGCTTTGAGGGGAAAGAAGGGGGGAAAAAAAGATTGGCAACAGTTGTTAGCTCAGGTGCCAATCAAAAAAAAAAGAAATGTCTCTGCTGAAAAATATGGTAAGGTTTTATTTAATTTCTCTTGAAATGAAATGCATGATCTTTCAACAACAGATAAAAAACATGATCTTTCAACAACAGATAAAAAAGCCAGTCAGCAACATTAATGATGAAAAAAAATGACACAAACCAAAGAAAAAAACCCCACGGTAGTCTAACTAATCTGAAATATTAAGATGTAAAAGAAACAATCCTAGGGAGATAGACTGGTACACTTCTCTGCCTCACACTTCTTTATAATGGGTGAAATGTGTAAGGGAGGAAATATACATCACCTTCCTTCTTTGGCTCTTCTAAGTTATATTCTCCAAGTTTTTGATGAAATTGCGTAAACTGGGCTTTGAAGACAATGAAATTCAGTTTTTTCTTTCTATCAAAGCTCTCTCTGCAGCAAGTAGAACATCTCTAAAGTAAATATGTTAATTACTGGCATCATCTTTAAGTTATTTTTAGTTGAAAAATTTTTGTCTTTATAGTTTCAGAAGTCATAGTCACTAAAAGTAATTTCATCACTGCCTAGTTAGCCGTGTTTAACATTCTCAACAGGCATACAGCTAGCAATCTGAAATTTGTACACGGAATGGCCCTGTCTCCCCTTCTTCCTGTACTGTTTATATAATCCAAACTACATATGTTATTATGCACGAACTGATCTTCAGCTTTAAACAGCTAACATTACATACAGTATGTCATACTAAGAACTTCAAAGCTGTCTTAAGCTGTAAGTGAAAATGGTACATTTTATAGAATACAAGGCCAAAAACACAGTAATAAAAATTCATGAGTGAGAAAAAAAAAAGAGGATCCTTAAGATCTTCTGTCAGAAAAAAAATTTGAACATTTTCTAGGCATCTAAATATGTGAAGTATTAGCTGAGCCCAGGTTCAAAAAATGAATTTTAATGCTTTTTAAAAATCTGCTTTTCCCTTAAAAAAAGTGTTTTATTTAGTTGTTAGGTGATTTGTATTTTTAGGGGGAGGGGAGAGCAAGAATCACTTTTGTTTTTCTTAGGGTATTTCTGCTCATCCCATCCAGTTTAAAAAGCTCACTCATTACATTTCTGTTGATTCCAGCTGAAAAAAAGAGAGCAATATAGACCACATGACTATTATATGTTGAACACATTCGCCAAATATACATACCAGATACTGGATTCTATTTTTAAATTGCTAGCAATGGAGCTTTTCTCAGTAGAGAGAAAGAAAATAGCAAATAATAAACTGGTTATTGTACTGCACAATTTACCGCCCAGAGCAATAGGCTGAGGAAGGGGTGAGGAAAGAATGTGCCTTGTGAGTGTTAGTATGCTTTTTTCCCTCGCTCAGATTCTTAAGTACTTCTATTTTAAATCAAGCCTAAGTTAGGATCATAGCCAGTGTTTATTATGGTATGTGTAGTATAGAATACAGAGTGAGAAGTGAAATGTTTAAAACAGTATAGTAATTAAATACAAAAACTGAGACAGGACCAAAAAACATAAGGCAAGGTAGGAAACCCAGACTCAAAATAATTCAGCTCATGGGGGCTGGCCCCGTGGCCGAGTGGTTAAGTTCGCGCGCTCCGCTGCAGGCGGCCCAGTGTTTCGTCGGTTCGAATCCTGGGCGCGGACATGGCACTGCTCGTCAGACCACGCTGAGGCAGCGTCCCACATGCCACAACTAGAGGAACCCACAACGAAGAATACACAAGTATGTACCGGGGGGCTTTGGGGAGAAAAAGGAAAAAATAAAATCTTAAAAAAAAAAAAAAAGTTAAAAAAAAATAATTCAGCTCATGAACACTTTTCACCTCCTTTGGAGCATCTTTTAACATTTATAGAATTCATTCTCCTTTGGTCCATTCATTCTTCCTTTCCCTTTTAACATTTTGGGGAGAAAAGAATTATTAAAGACATGGGAATAATGAAATAAGTTGGGTCATAGTTAGAAATCAGTTGGGAAAAGCAATGAAATGACATACCCCTGCACAGTTCCTACATGTGTAATGATCTGTGGTCACACACGTGTGCCACCACCGTGGTCAGTTGTGGGCTAATGGCAGACACTTGTCCAGGGATAGTAAAAGCCACGGTTGTGCACAGTTAGCCAGACAGTTAAATTAGACATCATCCAATGGGACATATAAACCTCTCTGCACGTCTAGCACATGGCCTGCCAATATTGTAGAAACTCATCCAACAGGGGATAGGCTGTGAATCCTTTAAACTGATAAGGATGGGCCGGCCCCATGGCTGAGTGGTTAAGTTTGTGAGCGCCGCTTTGGCGGCCCAGGGTGGGTCTTGGGCGGGGACATGGCACCGCTTGTCAGGCCACGCTGAGGCGGCGTCCCACATGCCACAACTAGAAGGACCCCCAACTAAAATATACAACTATATACTTAGGGGGATTAGGGGGAGAAAAAGCAAAAAAGAAGATTGGCAACAGTTGTTAGCTCAGGTGCCAATCTTTAAACTGATAAGGAGTCCACTGAGGGAAGAAAGTAGGGAGATAGAATCAGAGGTTCTCATTTCTTTATGAGAATATAGGAGTAGCTAAAATCCTGGGAGGATCTGGTTCAAGATGGCTTGTGCTCTAACATTTTATATACAGATTTAGTCCAATCTTCTGACGGTGAACTGGTCTCTAGGGGGAAATAGAAATTTCCCATGTTCAGGAAGGGTGACGTAATGTAATCAGGTAGTAATCCCTCCAATAAATGTTGTTGAGTCTGGTTAAGATGGCTTAAAAAGAAATGTGCTGTTAAGTTTGGGTATAACAAAAGCATTTTAGTATTCTCCGCCTTGGGAGTGGTGCTTTCCCTCTTCTCAGGAAGTTGTATAAAAAGGCACTGACATTGGAGTCATAATCTAGACTTCGGTTCTGACTTCGGCACCTATTGTTTGTGATTCCTGGCGGTTCAGTTGTTTTGAGCCTCCGGTTCCTCATCTATGAAATAAGGAGGGAAGCATAGAATCTCTGCCTCACAGATTTGTCAAGATGGAATAAAATAAGGTGGAACGCACTTAATAAATTAGAAAATGCTCGACAAAAGCTAACATTTATTTAAGAGACAATAAACTGTGTTTTTCCCTCCCCATTACCTGGGACCACTTTGGTTGGAATAACAACCTAAAGGCTTCATCAGAGCAGTCTGGAATGCCCACATTTGCCAAATGTGAAAGGAAGAGTGCCTTAAAGATTATTTAGTGGTAGATAATAACTCCAATTAAGCTCTCCGAGGCTCATCTGGGGATAAATTGGCAGTTCTTGTCTTAAACAGTATCAGTCAGGAGCCATTCACAGAGTTATATTTTTCTCCTGTGTTAGTGTTAAAGAGGAAAAATTGTAGTATATATACAATACAGGTGTACCTCATTTTATGCAAATCAACATATGGAAATTCTTAATTACGCAGTGTATCAGTATATTGATTTAAAGGGGGTAAGGTGGGGGGGGGGTGCTTAAATATGGTGAGCCTCACCAAAATGGAGACTTTGGCTTTGCATAAAAATCAGGTTGCTGTTTCCCCTTTGATGACCAGACAACCTAATCCAGAAACACATGGGAATATTGATGATGATGGTGATCAATTTCCTAGAACAGAAGAGGTTTCTCCGCTAAAGGGCAATGCAGAATAGACAGAAGCGACTTCCAAGCCAAAACATGCGTAAAGCAGGATTCCTGTGTTTAGAAAACTATTTTTAAAACTAGTCTTGGTGATTTTAATACAATAATTAAAATTCTATCTAAAACAGCCTATTAAAGATCTGAACATTTTAGATTTGGGGCAGAAATGTTTAAATACAAAGTTTTGCTCTCAGTCTCTTTCGTGTGTCTTGTTTAAATGTTTCAGTGGCTTTTACGGGAGTCATGACTGCCTAAGAGAAAATAGGGCACAATGTAATTATCAGGAGAAATTAAACCACTGGGCTTCATTAGAGAAGTTATCCTTACCTAGAGCATTTGCTCTAAAAACCAGCTACTTACTAAAGATTGATCTGACTTCCCAGTGAGCTGTAGCTAAAGCCCTGTTACCTTTCAGTGAATTCAAGGCTCTTCCTAAGCCTCCTTTTGCTTTTACAGCTAATCTATCGCTTCTCACTCTTCAACGTTTCCAGTGCCTTTGAAAAGACCACCTGAAGGGAAAGAGATTACTGATACAATTACAATAGAAACAGGTTAAAAGACGATGTCAGGAACCCAAAATAAGACAGCAATCACTGGGGGTTAAAATTAGATGGTGTCCTCTTAGGCTCTTCATCTTCTTTGTAATTCTCCACGACCTCATCCTACCTCCAGGACCCAACTGGAACATTAGAGGCCTAAACCTTGTTGACAGAGAATTGGTATCTGCAATTGAAAAAAAAATTGTCCAATTATTAATTTGGGAAGCTGTATTTAACTTATCATTCAAAATCAGGCGGCATGCGGAGAAACTAACTCACTCACACATTGCTGAAGGAAGTATAAGATGATACAGCCACTCTGGAAAACGGTGGGGCAGTTTCTTAAAAAAAACTAAACAGGCAGCTACCATATGACCCAGCAACTGCACTCCTGGACATTTATCCCAGGGAAATGAAGACTGTGTTCACACAAAAACCTATGCAAAAATGTTCACAGCAGCTTTATTCGTAATAGCCAAAAAGTGGAAACAGCTCAGACGTCCTTCAACAAACTATGGTGCTTCCATGCCGTGGAATACTAGTCAGCAATAAAAAGGAATGAACTATTGAAGCACATAACTTGGATGAATTACTAGGGAATTATGCTAAATGCAAAAAGCCAATTCTAAAAGGTTACATACTGTATAATCCATTTATATAACATTCTGAAAT